TAAACGTTTCAAGGTACGTTGTTGGTGCGTTCGCACTCCTTCGGCACCTAAAGTTTAAATTGGCCAGAAAAGTTTCTAAAAATGAAGGTAACCGATTGAAGCGAAAATATATTATTATTGTTTCCTTTAATTCCTAGAGGAACATAAGGCTTCAGCCGTGCGTCTCCATTGCGTTCGGTTCTCTGCTAGAGTCTTCACCTGGCTCCAAGTCTGCTCACACGTTTTCATCTCCTCTTCACATGACCTCCTCCAAGTCACCCTTGCACTGACGACCAACTCGCCGCTTCCCAATCGGTAGGGTTCCACTCGAGAATGGCTTGTCTAGTGGTGTCACTTGATGGTTTCCTCAGAGTATGGCCAATCCATTTCCATTTCTTTCTGCTTATTTGTTTCACAATCGGTTCCTGCTGGGTTGGTTCGCTCCTAGAGATCTCTGTTGCTGATCTTTTCTGGCCGGCCATCTGATCTTGAGTATTGAGCGAAAACAGCTGTTGATGAAGGTCTGTAGTTAGTTTGAGATGCTCTTTATGACGTGCCAAGTCTCTGATCCGTATAGTGGATAGCACTGACTTCACATTGGAGTAGAAAATCCGGATCTTATTTTTGATGTTGAGTGCTGTTGACCTCCACACAGACTTGAGAGTAGTGAAAGCTTTTCTTGCTTTCCCGATTCTTGCTTTGATATCCTCGTCAGTTCCGCCTGTAGTTGAAACGATGCGAAAATTGCATCCTATTAAAAGATTATATCATACTTTTACAATAAATATATGTCAAGTAACATGTATCAAGGAAGGGCAACCTTAGAATGACAACATCACATATTTACAAAACGTTTAACACAGGAGTAATGCGGAAAAAAAATTAACAACAAATTATTTCTGAGTGCAGAAATTCTAATTTCTCTGACATTAAATCTCCGTATTCATTTTCTTATATCAACTTGTATCTTGATGTATGCAGGAATGAGGCATGAAAAGAAAAAGCCTTTCACTGACTTTGCCTTTATGTGTGGATTATTTTTTTCCAGTCAATCTTTTATATAATTTGTATAGTTAACTCTTATTATTAACTTTATGAATAAATTGATGGGTGGTATATTAGTGAAAAGCAGAAACTAAATTTACAAAGATTTGAGAATGAATACACGCTTCACTAATCAAGCTTATCCTCTGTATGAATTAGCTTTATGTAGGCTGGCTGACAAGATACAGTCCATCAGGTATGTAAGCTCTTATGATTATTATTATTATTATTGTTGTTTCCTTTAATTCCTAGAGGAACATAGGGCTTCAGCCAAATGTCTCCATTCCGTTCGGTTCTCTGCTAGAGTCTTCACCTGGCTCCAAGTCTGCCCACACGTTTTCATCTCCTCTTCACATGACCTCCTCCAAGTCACCCTTGCACTGACGACCAACTCGCCGCCTCCCAATCGGTAGGGTTCCACTCGAGCAATGGCTTGTCTAGTGATGTCACTTGATGATTTTCTCAGAGTATGGTGGCCAATCCATTTCCATTTCTTCCTGCATATTTGTTGCACAATCGGTTCCTGGTTGGTTTGCTCCCAGAGATCCCTGTTGCTGATCTTTTCTGGCCGGCCATCTGATCTTGAGTATTGAGCGAAGACAACTGTTGGTGAAGGTCTGTAGTTTGTTTGAGGTGCTCTTTATGATGCCCCAAGTCTCTGATCCGTATAGTAGCACTGACTTCACATTGGAGTTGAAAATTCAGATCTTATTTTTTGATGCTGAGTGCTGTTGACCTTCACACAGACTTGAGAGTAATGAAAGCTTTCCTTGCTTTCCCGATCCTTGCTTTGATATCCTCATCAGTTCCGTAGGCCTGTAGTTGAAACGATGCTTTCCAGGTAGGTTAGGTAAAGGAGGTTGTTTCTTTCAGGTTCCTCCCATTTATGCTGATCGTTGTCTGTTGTTGTTGTTCTTCCTCAGGAATCTTCATCACCTCTGTTTTCTCTATGTTCATCTGAAATCCTATCTTCTCTGGATGTTTCTTCTATCGCCGACTTGTTGCTTTTCGCTTGCATATCTTCCAGTTTGTGGGAAATCAAACATATATCATCGGTGAAGTCCAGATCCTCCAAGCTTTTTTGTGTGGGTACATTTTATGCCTGTTTCCTCATTGCCCGCCACTGTCTGTCGCATTATCCAATCTACTGCAATCAGGAAAATCATTGGTGATAGTAGGCAGCCTTGTCTTGCTCCCATCTTCACTTCGAAGGATTCTGTGAGTTTCCCGTTGTGGATTACTTGGCATGCAGCGTTGTCGTACAACTGCTGGATGAGATGTATAATTGTCGATGGCACCCCATAGTAGCGTAGTAGTTTCCAAATCACCTCTCGATCGACGCTGTCGAAGGCCTATTCAAAGTCGATGAAGTTGAGATAGAGAGGTAAGCTCTTATAGATAGTACTTTATATATTAACCATTACAAAACTCTTTAAAAAAATAGTGTGCTTAACATGTGAAGAAGAAAAAGATGATGAGAAACAAGCACGAAATATTCAAGTTTGATTAGCATGGTGATGAGTTATGTGATTCACGTCATTAGGAAGATTGAATTTAAAAAGCTGTGATATGTTAAGCCATTTTATTTATCTATCTCCGCATGCGACTGCCTCATCCTAAAAAGAATCAACCACACCCTGGATGAAAAACTATACTGGATTCAGGAGAAACAAACCATGCATTGGTCAAATCGCAACAGTATGTATCATCATTGAACAGAGCTTGCAATGACAGTCACCTCTCTACCTCGACTTCATTGACTTTGAAAACACCTTCAGTAGACAGCGTCGATGAGAGGTGATTTGGAAACTACTACGTTACTATGGAGTGCCATCGACAATTATACATCTCATCCAACATTTGTACGATAATACTACATGCCAAGTGATCCACAACGGGAAACTCACGGTATCCTTCGAAGTGAATACGGGAGTAAGACAAGGCTGCCTACTATTTCCAATGATTTTCCTGATTGCGGTAGACTGAATAATGCGACAGATAGTGAGCGAGCAACGAAGAAACAGGCATAAAATGGACACACAAAAAACATAGAGAAAAGAAAAGTGATGAAGATTCCTCGCCAACCGCAACACCAACAACAGACTACAATCAGCATAAATGGGAGGAATCTGAAAGACGTAACCTTCTCTACATACCTACGTACCTGGGAAGCGACATTTCAACTACAGGCTGATGGAACTCATGAAGATATCAAACCAGTGAGGATCGGGAAAGCAAGGAAAGCCTTCATTACTCTCAAGTCTGTATGAAGATCAACAACACTCAGCATGAAAAATAAGATCCGGATTTTCAACTCCAGTGTGAAGTCAGTGATACTTACTATATGGATGGTTCAGAGACTTGGCGCCACGTCACATAGGCCACTTCGAACAAACTACAGACCTTCATCAACAGCTGTCTTCGCTCAATACTTCGCTCAAGATCAGATGGCCGACCAGAAAAGATCAGCAACAGGGAGTGATCTCTGGGAACGAGCCAACCCAGCAGGAATCAATCGTGCAACAAATATGCAGGAGGAAATGGAGGTGTATTAACTATACTCTGAGAAAACAAATCATCAAGTGAGTGACATCCACCACACGCCAGACCATCGGTCGAGTGGAACCCTACCGATTGGGAAGCGGCGAATTAGTTGGTCGTCAGTGCGAGGGTGGGGTGACATGGAGGAGGTGATGAGAAGAGGAGATGAAAGCATGTGGACAGACGTGGAGACAGGTGATGAAAACGTTGGCGGAGAACCTGAATGCAATGGAGACGTTGGGCTGAAGCCCTATGTTCCTCTAGGAACTAAAGGATACAATAATAATGATACATACGATTGCCTATCCTGTAACATACAGTGTTACAGTTTGGAGACAACGTGTTTTGGTTTACAAAACCTTGCAGAGTATATAACTGGTTTTATTATATGATAGGTAGATAGTAGCTAGTCATGAGTTTTGACTCACCCCTCAGCGAAGCCTTTGAAGTGAGGACAGGAGTACGACAAGGCTGGAGACTCTAAAAGATGTGGATTTCCTGGACAATTTTTGTCCGATGTCACACAAACTCAAGGACTTACAGGCAAAAAGTAACAAACTCGCAGAAGAGGCTGACAGCAAATTAAGGACATCAAGTGAACGTAGAAAAGACGAAAGTGATGAAAATAACCAACCAACAACAAACACCAATCACTACTAGCGGAAGAAATTTGGAGGAAATCACTTCCTTCTCTTATCTAGACAACATCTTTTCAACTATATGCAGTCGAAACGAATGACGATGTCAAAACCAGAATCAAAAAGACAAGCTGCACCTTCACCACTCTGAAATCAGTTTTGAAATCCGCTCCACTCAGCATAAACAACTAAATTCTAATTTTCAATACCACTGTTAAGTGAGTCAATTCTTCTATTTGGTTTAGAAACTTGACCAGAGAGTCACGGAAAGCATTTGCAACAGACAACTGCAAGCCTTTGTCAGCAACTAACTTCTTTAGTCCATTCTCGAGATCAGATGGCTAGTCAGAAAGAATTGGTAACAAGAAACTCTGGAAAGGCACCATTCAAAGACCTGTTGCTCAACAAACATGTAGAGGGAAATCAAGATGGATTAAACACGCTCTGTAGAGATTACATCGCGAGCAATGCAAGCCATCGTTAGAGAACAAGGCGAATGTGAAACGACGAGTTATATGGAGGGGATCCTGTGGAGAGTGAGAGATGAGAGACTATGGTCAATCGCGAGCCCAGTTGAAGAGGGCTACAGAGAAAAGGATGAAATGGAGGTGTTCTGTCGAAGTCCGACATTCCACTCGGAACCCAATGGAATTATAATAAAATTATCGATTGACCTCATTATTTTTATTTTACTGGATCGTGTAACCTTCTGATGATTACTACTCTACAGTTTGATTAATGTGTAAATACAATGCATTAAAAGTTTTGTCCTTTTTATCTGTATGTTTAAAATTTCAGGCTAATGGTTCAGATATGACACTATATGGAGATGGACAGGAAATTGATCGAATGGAAATCGCTGAATTGGTGGTTCAACGTATGCAATCGCTAGTACATTCTACTTCACTGTAAGTCTAACAATAAAACACTAGAAAATTTAGAGTATATCCACATTTTAACTTTATTATTTGAGTTTAAGATTAAACAACTTTTGACTACTACTCGGGGAGAAGCAGACCAAAAGTTTTCAAAAGGATAAGTAATGATACTCAGCACATCACTTAAGATTTGGATTTGTAGCTTCCATACTGAAGATAATTTTGTTAGGAGTTTACCAAACTTCCACCAATTAGTTTGTAAGGGTGTTGATTTGTTTCAAGTCTAATCACGAGATAACATCAGCTGGAGAACCAGTGAAAACCAGCAGGAAGTACTGGACAACTATTTCGTCCTACTTTGGGATTCTTCATCAGTATGCGCCCGACGGGACTCTAACTCAGGGATTTCCGGTTGCAAGGTAAACTCATAGACCATTCAACCATACCGAGATCCAATTCAATGGCCCACTAATTCTAACTTCCACCAGCTCGCGACCATCAGCCACTGTCTTCGACAAGTATTTGTCTTCACTTCCGACCTGATGGACTCCACTGGTCACGACTCCAATCAACTCCATCCTCTATGCAGTCACTAGCGAGCACCAGATTAATTTTCAAGAGTTAGTTCGTAGGGTTCGAACCCTAGTGGGTGCGTACTATCGATGCGTCCCAGACTAGGACGAAACAGATGTCAAGTACTCCCTGGTTTTCAGTGTTTATCAAACTGCCGAAAAACTCATCATCATCACTTTGAAATGACTGAGATTCATAGCCTACGGGGATTCTTTTGATGTTGTTGTGTCCTCTGATCTGGAGCACTAAACTGTGAAGCTTTCAATGTCCTTAAGGAGAACATCTTTACAACTTCATGCTGAAGTCAGTACTAAAGATGTTTTCAAGAAGGACAGTGAAAGATTCTCAACTAAACTTTACAGCTCGAGGAACACAACAACACCAAGAAGTCATCAAAATGTTAACCACTTGAAATGTTAATAATAAGATAATGATTTCTCTGAAGATGAATTTTATGGTTTCTCTGAAGATATTATTATCAGGATTATTCCCTTAGGTTCTGAGTGGAATATAGGGCTTCAACAGGACTTCTCCTTTTCATCCTGCTTTTTGCAGTTGTTTTTAGCTGGCTCATTGATTGCCCATTGGCTCTCATTTCCTGTGCCTCCCATGATCTCCTCCTTGTCAACCTTAAACCTACGCCCAACTCGTCGTTTCCTATTCGAGTTCCACTCGAGCTATGGCCAAACGCGTGATCTAATTCAATGGTCTCCTCAGCGTATGTTCGATTCATCTCCCTCTTCATACAACACACATAAAACACGATTGGTTCACTTTCCTTTATAAAGTTTCATTAATCTCAAGTCTTTCTGTCTTTCTTCAAGTTATCTAGCCTACTGAAATATGGAAAACGAAGTACTGTGAAAAAGCTTATATGAAGATATTGATATTCAATAAGTTTAAATCTTTCAAGAAATCAAGAAATTGGTTGAAATGTAGATCTTTTATTCATACTCCATACCAGCGGTACCTGCATTGTATTTCAGTTCAGTTTGATTTTCCCATTGGTTGATTGAACCAGAATGTTCGACCTCTGTCAATATGTTGGTTTCTAGTTCGAGCGCTTCAAGAATATCTAAGTATTAACTTGAAGTATAATTCTGCGGTTGGTGACTATCAGATGACGAGCCCCAAATAGGATATGAAGTGCGCATCCAGGATTCCACTGCTAGTCATCCTCCACCAAATTACTTCAAGTACCTACATGTTTTCGAAAACTGTCCACCATGCTCAAGTTTCCTATGAAGAAAGAACAATCAAAATGCCTGTTCATTTAGACGTTCTCTGAATACAATTAAAATTGCTAAAATTTATGTGGAATAAGCACCTAGTCAACTAAATAACCTCATTTAAACAAACTCGTAATTTTAGCCATTATGGATAGGTATTTAAATACTACGACAGTTTTCTTTGCATATTTTTTCTTATTCCTTAACGTTCCCAGTGGGACATAGGGCTTCAAGCTAGAGGCTTGAAGTTTTGGTAGCAGTGGTGTTTATTTCTACGGGATAGGGTTGCTAGCCTCTTGCCCAACCTTCCCTCTTTACCAGTCTTATTACTGGCTTAGCGAGGTAAAGGAGTGCGTCGACCGGTGGCGGAACCTCGGACCACATGCGTGGTCGGTGAGCATTCTACGCTAAGCCACAGACTCTCAAAAACTAGGGAGTACTGGACAGCTGTTTCACCCTAGTTTGGGAAGCATCATCAGTACGCACCCACTGGAGTTCGAGCCCGTGACCTTCAGGTTACAAGGTACTAATGGACTTAACCCTAACACACTTCAGTGACTCAGGGATTTACTTGCTACCACGGAATAATCTCGTTGACTTAGAATATGCGGACGATATAGTCCTTCTAGGCGAGGACTCTGACAAAATGCAGAGTCTACTGAACACCTTGAGCAACAATCTTCGTATGTTTGGCATGCGATTCGCCCCTGTAAAATGTAAGATGATGCTGCAGGATTGGACTTCACCGACCCCTAGATTAGAAATAGGAAGTGAAGTGGTAGAGCACGTTGACCGCTTCACTTACTTGGGAAGTACCATCAGCCCCAACGGGTTGATCGCCGACGAAATCTCAGCACGAATACAGAGGGCTAGTTTCGCATACGCCAGTTTACGCCGTCTCTGGCGTAGACGCGATATCCGACTATCGACCAAAGGGCGTGTGTACTGCTCAACAGTCCGCTGCATCCTCTTTTATGGCTGGCTGTGAGACCTGGCCATTGAGAGCAGAAGACATGAAAAGATTAGCTGTCATCGATCATAGGTGTCCGCGTTCTATCTCCCGCATAAAGTGGTATAATAAGGTCAGCAATATTGAGGTTAGGCGTCGAGTGCTAGGTAAGGCTTGGAAATCAGTCGACGAGACTGGGGAATTACATCGACTGAGATGGTTAGGACATGTGTTACGTATGCCTAGTCATCGCCTTCCTCGACCAATGGGCAATGTTAGCTGATATAGGGCCAGGCTGGAAAAGAGCTAGCGGCGGTCAAACCAAAACATGGCACCAGTCAATGAAATCCACAACAGTTAGTCTAAGCCACGTAGGAAGGTGTAGACTGGCTTCCTGGTTGGGGTCCTCGGGACGGTAAAAACCAATGAAGGCTGGAAACTATTGGTGATATGGCTCAAAATCGTTCTCAATGGGTGGCGCAGATGCATCCACTCCTTGTGACTTATGATTTCCAATGAAACTATATTGTCCTTCGTTATTACTATTCCTTTGTCTTACACCTCTGTTTACTGTCTATATTATGCATTTCTCCTACTTTCTTCTCTTCCTTTGTGTGCTACATGAAGTGTGGCGACTTGAACTGCCGCACATATGTGCAAAGTTCTATGTCGAAAACCAACCGAGGTTACAAGGGAAACTCGTATACTATTCAGCCACTAGGAACGATGATATCTGTAGATGGAACATACGTCAACATCACTTACCATAGAATATAAAAAGCGTGTTATACCTGATGCGGTTTGAGAGTGCTACCCTGAGCCACATGGTTGGCGAGCATTCTACCGCTGTGCCACCGACTCACGTCCATACTTTCTGCTCAACACAATGTCATTATCTACTCATGCTTTCAAACAGTCTCATAAACTGACCTTTCCCGCATACAAATATTTTAATTTGAAATTGTTCATACAAAATCTTGATAAAAGTTGGTACTATCATAGCTGAATATTCTAATTATTAAGAATTGAATGTTTTCTTCTAAGTATTTTAACTTGAATAATGCATTCCTAATCAAACTGCTTTGTTTTTCACTATCTTTCTATTGGAAATCCAGTCCGAAACCTCCAAGTTTACAGTCAATTAGTCGAGTTGCTGAAACAGAAAGACTATCAAGTGTAAGTAGTATGAATGCTCCAACAACTCCTACTGTTCCCCAACCCAATATCGGAGTAACTACAGCACATTCTACCTACATCCCACCATCACAATATTCATCATCTCAACCGTATACACAAACATATTCATCTCAACCAATGAATATTCAACAAAATATGCCATCTCAAGCAAGTCAGAAATATACACCACCTATTACAAGTGGTGGTGGTGGTGGTGGTATGTCTAATACAGGTTCACTTATCGGAGAGCCTATAGGATCAGTGAGTCCAGCATTGAATAAGTATTCGGATACTAGTTATACAACTGGTTATGGTTCATCTACCAGTTCACTGTCTTCAAGAGCTGATACACCTCAACAGACTGCATTTACCACACCAACTACAACTTCAGTTAGTCGAGCATTCAGTACTACTATGGAGAGTATGGATTCTGGATACCGTTCAAGTGGTGGCGGAGGGGGTGGTGGTGGTGGTTCGTCTAATCTACAAAATACCAATACTAATTATTCTTCTTCTCAACCATGGAATCAAGGCACTTCATCGGGAATATTTAGTCCCTCTAAATTACCGTCTATGGATTCAACTACAAAGCCTAATCTGACAAATCAATTCTCTACTGGATTCGATACACCAGAACGTACAACTTCAAGCAAGTTTTTGAGTTCACCTCAACAATCTTTTGGATCTTCTATAAGGTAAAGCATGTCTTTGCAATTAGCTTACGTTTAAACGCATACATATCATTTCACACTAGTATTGATAACGTTGATATGACCATAATAATTAAAGGAATACTCTTATAGACAGTATTAATGCTGTTTTAAATTACACTGAATCAGTAGCTATTATCTACAGTTTCCATTCCAAAAGCCTGAGCAAAATAGAGAGAGGTAATCTGCATTAATATAACACTAATTTGACTGAATATCAGATAATTTAAGGGAAGTAAGACTACAGAATTTATGAATTTTACAGATTCGACAACGGATCAATTTAAACTTTAAGCATCACTAACTACCAATGGAGTGCAACCGCACCAATGACCTTGAATTGCCCACTGAGCAAGTCAGTGAAGCATGGCAAATAATGTTGTCATCATCGATAAAATATGCTCATCGAAGTGTTATGTTACTAAATGGGATATCTGACAAGTTTCAGTGTAGTTTAGGGAAAGATTAAGTTACGGTTTAAGCGAAGGACAAGTTAGGGTTAGGTTAACCTAATAAATGCGACATTAGGGATGGTTCGAGTTAGGGTTACGGTTAGTCTAGCGATATTTTCACTTTAGGGTAAGATACAGGAGAGATTAGGGTTTTTGTTAGGGTTAGAAGACCTAAATAATTATATGCACAGAATGTGGTTAAATTACTCTGTTGATATAAGATTAGAACTTGTGCACTATGGTAGAGTATAATTCCACTGTGGGTAAAATTTATTTTGATAAAGTCTCACAGCATTGTACAGTAATATTTACTGATGACGACGTTTCGAGTGCAATTCATTGCTCAGGAAATATTACTATATAACACCAAGAGACTTTATCAAAATAAATTTTGCCCACAATGGAATTATACTCTGTTGATATTCCAACCTAAAACTGAGAGCAATTTTTATCACATATGAGAGGAAGGTATCCTCTGTAACACTTTTCTACAGTTTTTTTGCATTTTTTTTCATAAATGTATTTATTCCATTCACAAAAATGCCTCCTTCATGTGATTGGGGCTTTTCAAGGTCATTCACTGATTGGTAGTTAGTGGTGCTGTAAGCTTTACTTTACCATTGGCTGGCTGAAACTGTTTCTTTTGTACACACATCTTCAGTTGATTTAAGCAGAATGTAATGGCCTTTGCTGTTTGGAGTACTCCGTATCTAGAGGCCGTTGGTAGTTTATTCAATAAAATACCCAACAGATGATAGAGAAAAACTCTTCAATGCCAGCTAGCTCTATGGCCTCCTTGTACAAAATGACTAAATATAGAACTGTTGATGGTTTCAGCATCACTTTTATTTAACCACACTGGTAGGTGCAGTGTTACCGAACACGAAGAATTAATTTCCTCAAGCAGCAGCTATATATTTGTACATACTACCTTATCCATGATATTAGTGACTGAATGGTCTACAAGCTCGCTCGCCTTGTAACCAGAAGGTCCCGGGTTCAGACCCTGGTTGTTGGTGCTTACTACTGAAGAGTCCCAAACTAGGCTAACGAAACAGCTATCCAGTACTCCATGCTGGTTTTCCAATGGTCCTCTAACCAATGTGAGTTCATGATGAAATCCTGCAACCAATCAAATCAAATGCCTGCAAGCCAACACTTGAATATGGATTAAGTTTACGTTGTGGACATGAAATAACCTTATTGGACAACTTTTCGTCCCCTTGTTTAACCTTAAGCCAACCGACAGCCAATCAGAGCAGTTTACTGTCCACTGACGTAGCCGAATTTTAATGCGGTTAAACATGTATAAATAGGATGTGTTTTTCATTAACATAGATCCGTCACCAATTTTTTTATTTTCGAACTTACACTAGAACTTCGCATTCCCAAAAGCTTTTCAGCTTAAAACAGAATTACATCTGACATAATCCGGTAGGTAACGAACACCTCATAGTTCTTATGCAATCAAGATGATTCACTTACTACTGATTTAGTTGCTGAATTACACGCATACCTTTAATTTAGAGGATTCATGTGTAAAATAATAAAGAATTCTAGAGTGTTTTGAAAATTTACAACCACTTATCGATGATGTAACAAGCAAAACATGGTTTCATTTTATTGAAATTATATTGGCAAAGTAATTTCACATGAATGCATCACTTGTGTGAAGTTACCTAATTGAAAATTAATTTCGTTTCTATTTTGCCATTCCTTTCTAAAAATGAGTGAAAAAGCCTAACTCGTCAGATAGTTACCTTTCAGCATAATATTTCTGTTTTCAGTAATTTGAAAATTCGCGCTTACACATTACAAAAAAACAAATAGAACCAAGAAATATAATTCTTTTCACTTATTTCCTCATTATCCGCTCTACACTAATATATATATTGGTATTTTTACAGCCAAATTATACCAGTCATGCAATTCTCAGTGGAACATAGGGCTTCTAACGAAGGTCTCTACTTTGTCCTATTTTCTGAGCTACACTTTAGCTGACTCAATGATTTTGCAGTAATAGAGAAGATTTGTAACTCAGGTGGATGATTTGCAATTAGTAGTGTTCTCTGAGCTGGTTGGTTTAGTTGCGAAGCTTTCGTCGTCCTTCTGGACAACATCTTCAGCGCAATATTCAGCACAAAGTGAAATAATTTAAATTTCTTCATGAGTAATATAATTGCGTCTCCTGGTAACCATCTTTACATATGTACTGACCATTTTCTATTGACTTGGATTTTAAACTTTCTGGTCACCTGATTTACTTTTTATTAGTTGGTATATTTTGTCTATATTAACGTGTTTGTTAATTGCATTTTCGTTTGAGTACCAGGCTTCTAGGAATTCCCTGGCACTTTTCGTGTTTCCTCTGTCTAAGATTTTGACATTATCCCAATAAAGTTGATGTCCATAATTGTCTATATGCATTGATAATAAAGAATACATATCGTGTCTTTTCACGGCTGATTTGTGTTCTTGGATTCTGATTCGAAGGGGACGCCCACTTTGGCTGATGTGATGCCTGTTGCAGTTCATACAATTTATTTTGTAAATGGTATTAATCTTATCTCCTTTTTCTGTTGTATCTTTCGGTTTGCATAATATCGAATTAAGCGATTTGACTGGCTTGTGTGCTATATCTATGTCAAACGGTTTCAGTATTCTCGCTGTTATTTCAGAGATATTTCTCATGTATGGTAGGATGAGTTTTCTTGTGGTCTTTGATGATGGTTCTTTGTTGGTGTTTTGATTCGATTTTAAACACCTTTTGATGAAGTTTTGTGGATAACTATTCATTTTGAAGACCGTTTTGGGGTATTTTTCCTCCATTCTTTTCAACTCTGGAGTGCTACAATGTGTCTGAACTCTTTTAAACAATGTCTGCACACAGTTTCGTTTGTAAGTAATTGGATTGTTGCCAGTATAGTTGAGTATTTGATCTGTGTGCGTTGATTTTCTATATACTTGTGTTTCTCAATCTCCTGTGTTGGTTCTCCTGATTAAGACATCTAAAAATGGGATTTTGTTATCTAATTCTTCTTCTCTTGTGAATTTGATGTCTTGAAATATGTTGTTTATTAATTTATGGGTATATTCTAAATCATTTCTCTTAATTATTACAAATGTATCATCAACGTAACGTACCCAGATTTTCGGTTTAATTATAGGTAGAGCTATTAGTTCTAATCTTTGCATAACGGCTTCAGCTATTAATCCTGATATGGGCGATCCCATTGGTGTTCCTTGTATTTGTTCATATATTTGAGTATTGAATTGGAAGTATGTTGTAAGGCATAATTTTATGAATTCTATCCAATTTGAACACGCGTTTTTATGTTTTCATCACTATAGAGACTCAACGATTCTCCATAGTCTCTCATCTCCTCTTTGCACGATCTCCTCTATATCACACTCGAACTTAAGCCCAAATCGTCGTTTCCCATTCAGGTTCCACCCGAGCGACGGCATGACATGCGATGTCATTCGATAGTCTCCTCAGCGTGTGCCCGATCCATCTCCATTTCTTCGGAATATTTGTTTAGTGATAGAGCCTTGGTCGGTTTGTTGGCAGAGTTTATTGTTGCTAATTCTTTCTGGCCCGCCGGCCGACCATTTGATCTTCATTGTGGAGCGAGCGAAGCTAGCAGCTGTCGATTAAAGTCTGTAACTTGTAACTGAAATCCTTTTCGTGACACTCAGTGCAAGTTTCTGACCCGTACAGAAAAACTGACTGACTGACTTCACATTTGTGTTTAAAATCCGAATGTTGTTCTTCATACTGACTGAGTGCAGAAGATTTCCAAACTGGTTTCAAGTTGATGAAGGCGTATCTTGCCTTTTCGATTCTGGCTTTGACATCTTCATCCGTTCCGCAGACCTGTATTTGAAACCGTGCCTCCTAGATAAGTGAAGGAAGTGACCTCTTTCAAATTTCTCTCGTTATGATTATTCTCATCAATACGAGAATTACCACTTTTAGGTAAAGGAGGAGGGGTGAAAATAAGAAGATTAACAGACATCGAAACACTTAACTAGTAGATTTTAGCAACAAGATATCTTAGTTTTGGAGGAGGAGTGATCAGTTACTTCGTATGGGGTGGCAGCAAGTTATTACATAATCAAGCAATTAGTAAAATAGTAATGACTAAGAAGAATAAAGTATATAATTAGGGTTACGTAAGAATGCAAAGATATAAACAACTTAATTGGATTGCATAGAATTTTAATCATAATGAAATAACAAAGTCAAAAGGTAATTACAACGGGAGGGGGAAGATCGTTTGTAAAACTTACTACATATATTCTGTAGTTCACCAAGCCAAAGAGAGGGGCTGCACAAATTTCTTTCAAACACAAAAATTTGGCTTGTCCAGATGAATTCCGATTGTGTTTGCCGTATGTATATAGGTCGTACTTGTAGAGTATGCGAAAGCTTGGATGAAATACAATAAATAACTTTAAAAGCTTTGTTAGAGTCAACTTGATGTCAAGTATCGACGATGAGATGAGCTAGTATTAATCTTTGAATAGCTTTATTTGGAACTTTGCCAAGGCAAGATGCAAAATGTCCAGAAATTCTACTCTGAACTTACCTGATCATACGCCCAATTTAACCAGCTCTACAGGAGCAGTTACACTAATTTTGAGGATTTTTAATCTCTTATTTTCACATAAACCCGCCTACACTTAAAACTGATAATTCTCACTGACTAAAACAACCCCATGATTGGTATAATTCTGATGTAAAAATAAACTGTTTTTTTTTAATGTAAAACCGATGATGTGGAACTAATTGAAAAAGACTGTGTTTCTGTTTTTTCCTATTTATTTTGTTATTCTGTGAATGGTGTTCTCCTTACAACTTTATTTTATACAATCTACGCATAATACAAACTTTCTGCATAATATCGTCTGCTGAATAATAATAATGATAATAATTTGCTTTATTCCAGAAACAGTACTAGTGGTACAGTGTGGAATTTTCAGCACATATCTACAATATTTGCATCTAATTTTATCCAACGTTTAAAAGGAGTATTTTCAAAAAAAATATATAAAGACAACAACAGCAAAAAAACACAAAAAACACAAAATAATTTTTTTTAATGCGAAAAAATACCAAGAAGTAGAAAGGAAAATAAACAGCATATAATAATATCTCAGTATTGGGTAGTGGAAGCTATGATATGATTATGCATGGTGACAGTAAAGCTATAGTCATACAAGAAGTTATGAAATGATATTTAAGAATGTTTATCGCCAAGATGATCAGTTAATTTGGTTGAAACAACACTAAACAATCATAAAATAACATTTCAGGGTTGTTGTTTTTTTTATTGTCAGGTCTAATGCAGTGTTTGTAGTGGTAGTGTGAGTAATCCTGCATAATACAAAATTTTAAGGTGGTGATAATGGCGTTCACAACCAATGATTGTTAGTTAATATTGCCGAACAAAAAAAAACAATAAGAAAAAACAACCACAAAACTAATAATTACATGATGGTTAGTGACAGGACAATTTTGTACTACTCATAGTGCTAATATAGTCGGAACCAGTAGATACACAAAAGAAGGAATAGAGTAAAGTACAAAAAAGTAAGCCAATGTTAATAATTTAGGTAGCTAAGTATGTTTGAGAAGGAGTTCACTATAGAATACAAAATAAGAGAGAAATAAAAGAGCCTAAAATTATGTTATTAACAACAAAGCAAGTCATAGGTTTCGCGCTTAACATTGTCTCTGTCGCTTAGAACACGGGCCAAATATGGTATCGTTGAGTTCCTGTACTTGGTTGTACGAGCATAGATTATTTTATACTGATTTCTGGTTCTACTTGATGAGATACAAGGCGAGAGTTGGGAATAGAGGGGGTGTTGGGGGTCGGAGAGTATGGTTTTAGACCATTTTTCGCATGTATTCAGATGCCTTTCAACTAATGTAGTGACGAGCTGACTGAGTTTTACACCACTAGTCCTACTAACTACCTTCAACATCCTTCTCAGGATGGTGTAGTCCTTTTTCAGTAGCCCAGGAAAGATTAACGGGGAGCAGTAAAGTAGAATAGGTAAGATACAAGTGTGATGAACAAGTTCGAGTTGAACTCATTTTAATCATACTTTTTTAAGAAAGAAAACTGCGATAATGATGAGTAGTGCTTTCAGTTAACAAAAGTACCTTGAAATTGAGTTGTAGTCAACTTTTAACATGAAATAGTCACTAGATGGTAACCGGTATTAGTCCCCCTCCCCCCCCTCCGTCAACTAAGTCTACGAATCAAGTTTTTTTTATGTGACCACCGCCATTATCTCAGCTTACTCTGTTGTGGTGTTAAATATTCCATGTCCGCTGACAGAAGGTACTGAGTTCAGTACTCGTTGACGCGTATTAGAGAAAAACACAATGTTTAAAACTAATGTAGCGTATTAAGTTATATATGATAGAAGTGAAATATTATTGCGTATTCTGCTTTTCCATGATGGGTAAATTTTGTTTTGATAAAGTCACACAGTGTTATACAGTAATGTTCACTGATGACGTTTCGAGGACAATTTATTGCCACTCATAATCATATCAAGGTAATCACACGACTTCCTAAATTCATTTATATAGTTCCATTGTTTTTCACTTGATTTTCACTTGATTTGATTGGTAGTAGAATTTTCCATATTTCGGGTATGAGCGATGATTCATTCCTATTGCATGAGTTGGGTGTAGACTCGATGAACAAGGATTCAGTAATCAATCTCTCCCTAGCTCCGCCTACCTATATTACTTCTTAGAATTTTAACCCTCTTCCATCCTGTTGTGTGGTTGTGTGTTAATGCATGCATTGCGATTGCTGAGCTTTTTTCTAAATTACTTATCTTCTCTGGGTCTGACAATCTGACTACCCCTGACCTACTAGTTTGACCTATGTAGTTGATCTCACAGTCATTGCAGGGTGTTTTGTAAATTGTATTATCTTGTTGAATTGGGTCCACCGGGTATTTAGCCTACAGAGCTTGTCTCTGAGTGAGTTTGTAGGTTTAAATGCCACCCTAATTCCTGCTTTATTTAGAATCCTACGTAGGGTCTCAGATGTCCCCTCCTTATATGGTATAACAGTAGATGACTTGTATTCTCTCTTATTTGTGTTATCATTACTAGTTTCATAATTATTTTTATTTGGCTTTTGGCGTTTTTCGATCTTCTTAATGAATTTTATAGGATAGTTATTTAACACCAACGCCTCTCCTATCCGCTTTATTTCATCATTTAGGTCTTTTTTGTGCTACTGAGTGCCATTGCTCGGTTTGTTAAACACTTAACTAAGCCTGCCTTAACAGTTAAAGGATGAGATGAATTAAAGTCTAAATATCTATTAGAATGTGTTGGTTTTCTATAAACATTAGTGTGTAGCTTGCCTTCTTCTATTCGTTTTATCTTACAATCTAACATAGCTAATTCTCCTTGCTCATTTTCTGATTCAAATGTGGATTTTATTCCCTCTACTAGTGAGTTTATATGTGTCAAGAAGTTAGAGATATGTTCTGTTTTTAACACTGTGAAAGTGTCATCCACATATCTCCGCCATATTTTTGGAGTAGGATTAAACGTATTAAGAGACATATTTTCCCAGTTATCCATCTATCTATATATATGTATATATATATACATATATATATATATATATAAACACAAATAATCAATGTGATCTGTGTTTATGAACCAGCAGTAGTTTGTAGCCAATTAAGCATTACAAGTCTTACCATTAGTTGAAATTATTTACAGTAGCATTGAAAACCAACCGGGAGTGTTGAACAGCTGAATGATTTTGATTTGGGACTCTTTATCAGTACTCACTCATTGGGGCTCGAACGTGGGATCGTCAGGTTACAAAGTGAGCCTGTAGAACATTCAGTCATTGGAACCCGATCGAACCATTCATGAGTTCCAACTTCTGTCACTTCAAAGCCGCCAGTCAGTGTCACAGGTAAGTAACTGAATTGTTGGATCCTGCTGGTTATGAGGTTAATTTGTGATCGGAAGGTCCTGGATTCAAAGCTTGGTGGATGCGTGCCACTGAAGAGTCCAAGACTTGGACGAAACATATGTTCAATACTCCTTGATGGATCTCTAAATTATGTCAACCCGTAATCAGACCTGTAACCGATCAAACCCCCCGCTATACCAAAAACTTGACAATTAGGTATTATTCGATCTTCCGGTCTTGATAGATATTACTGCATATTACATTTTCCTATTATTTCCATAACATGACCTTTATATGGAAGGCTACTTTTTACCACTTTATGTAAGTGTTTTTAAATCTTTTCTTTTTTTCAGCTCCAGTGTTTCAGCTAGCAGCACTGAAAGACCCAGCAGTGCATTCAGTGAAAAACCAACAAGTCAAGCGGCGACTAGTGGACCGAATCGTCCAGATGTTCCACCAAGACAAACTTCCCTACGTACTGGTCCAAGTACTGAGGATACAGATGATACAATGAAAAATCTACGCAAAACATTTGCTGGAATTTTTGGTGATTTATAAGAGTATTTATGTTATGTTAACATGTCGTCTTATTATAACAAATATTACTATTATTATTATATTATTATTATTACTATTAGCTAAAATAGCTGTCGTAACACTGGATTATCTAACCGTTACACCTAATGTCTTTTTAATGTCAATCTGATCTTTCTCTCTCACTGTCCGTCCCTCTGTCTCCTATCTTTCTCTCTCTCTCTCTCAAATAATGGTATTTACTTCTTTAAAGTCGTTGTTGTTGTTTATTCAAACACCGGAAACTTATTTGGCGCTAAATTCAAAAAGGACAGTTTGGTAATTTGATACAATGCTACTACTTATTTACTCCAATAAGTTAACATACATATATACATTATACTTCAAGGGATATTACTATTATCATTAATATTATTGACCGAAAATCGATTTTTTTCCTATCTCCCTTTTATTTTCAACTTCGAGCTGAATACTATTACTACTACTAGTACTATGCTCTACAAGCATTTACATTAGCTTAGGACTTATAATCCCATATAAAACACCGACCACATATATGCACATAGAACAATCATTTATCCTTCCTCTGTGTCAATTTATTTACCACTCTTACTACTTACCGACTTCTACTTATCCACACACACACAAACAAACAAACAAACGAACAAACAAACAGCCACACAATACATGTGAACTACTATGTCTTTTCCGTTGTTTGCATGTCTAAACTGTCCCTATTATTGATTTTATTATTATTATTGATTTTCTCAAACTATTTATCACAATCTCCCTGTCCGTCTGAGTGTGTGTATGTGCGTGCGTGCGTGATGTTTTCGCAATGGATGATGATGATGTTATTGCTCATGTTCCCCCTCGACCTAACTTTATTTATACTGCTTTGGGAAAAAAAATTAAAGGAAAACGAGAAAATTTTCTTTTGTTTCAAGAATGTGATACGATTGAATTTTGTTTTAATTTTTGTTGTTGTTTAAAATGAAGAAAGAAAAGAGAGAGAAAAAACAGAAAATTTCACTTTCAATTGAGAGGTTGTCAGGAGTATTCAAGAAAATGACAATGATGATGATGAGTGATATGAGCACCAATGAATTTCTTAGTTGTGATTAACCAATCATATTGTCAAGAAAAATAAACTGATCGATAAGCAAATACTATTATTGATAAATTTTTATTCTTGATTTATGGAAGGGTAGCTTATATAGAAGAGAAAAATGAAAATCATTCAAGGCAGGAATGAGTATATTATTGATTAAATGTTTTTTTTATTTTTTTACGAGTTTTACCACGGATTGATATCAGTTAGAGAACCATTGAAAACCAGCCAGGGAGTAATGGACAGCTAGTTTTGGAATCATCGGCTCGTATACCATTCAGCCACTGGGACCCGACCCGATTCAATGGCTGCCAGTCCATGAATTCTAACTTCTACACTTATTCGTGATGCATTTAGCGCGACCACCGCCCAATGTCAGTGGTGGGAAATCCATCCCTACTCACAACTGGGTGGACCCCACTGGTCACGACTTCTCACTGGAACTGCAAAAACTCCGTCCTGTAGCCAGTCACTAGCGAGCATCAGTTTAATTTTCAAGGGTCTGACACAGTCTGACGCATAATCCAGTCCACCACAGTTAAGAATATCATCTGTGATAATAGGCACCCTTGTCTTACTCCTGTATGCACTTCGAACGCCTCGCTGAGTTTTCCGTTGTGGATCACTTGACACGTTGCATTGTTACATATATATATATATATATTTGACGACTGGGTTGTTAGATTATTTGATTTTAGACAAATTTCTCGAACAACCAGTTTAGTCCATTCTGGACGCCAATGTGGTTCTGGAAGTAATACAGTTGGCCAGATTTCTCGAAACCTCTGCATCAACTTCTGGTCAAACAACTCCTGGTCCTACTTCAAATGTCCATCGTCCTAGTTACTCACACAATACCGATTGATGCCCAAAGCTGACACTTCCACCACCCTTTTGGAATCGTGGTGCTTGGCATTTCATCAAATCTTATCCAACTGAGCAACACCAGTGTCAAGAACGCAGTAATGTTGAACAAAAAGATGGTTTTAGCCAGTAACCTATACATACAACGGCCACCCTTGATAAGTAACGGACAATAGACGCCGTCCTCAGTTAGCACCTGCTTGCCAAAAATTCATCAGTATTTGACCTCAAAGCTTCCCACCCCAGATGGTTATACGATCGGTTTCCTGACCAAATTAGACTTGTGTCATATGCTTCTTTACCATAAGTTGATGCCAAACCCTCCTGTGTCAAAAAACAACAATGTGTCTTCAAGCGTGCTACAGCTTCTCACAATTCTGATGGGAAGCAGAGGCCACGAATGCTCCAGACCCTCAAGTAAACAACCAATCACTACCTTAAGGTCGGCCAGCAGGCTGCAGAAAAAAAAACAGTAAGATATTTCAAATAATCACGAGATTAGAAAACACCATTAGGAGTCGTATTTTATTTGATTAAAACAAAGTGAACAGGGGAAATTATATGCAGTATAATGATGAAGTATTTTGGTAGCCCTTATTTCAAACAAACCGCCTTTGATGATGATTTAAGTATGGATAAATTACTTCAGTTCGCATTCAAAGACTTCAAGTTTTCACATTTCGGAAAAATTTTAAAATGGGCGTACAGATGATAGCTTTACAAAATTCCACAACTGCCAGACCATTCAACATTTACAACCTGAACAGTTTGCCTTCAGGAACACTTTAGAGTAGCCATCAAGAAACAATTGTTCTGAATCACTGAAGTATTCAATGACTTCAGGATCCAAAAATTAAAATCACTTCACGTAATTATCACTAGTCCCAGTGGCTGAATAGTCTTCGAGTTTGTCTTATAACTGGAAGGTATTGGGTTCGAACCTCAGTGCGTTAGGTATCCAACAGTAAAATACTCACCAACCACGCCTCAAGTGGTCTGGTGTTGGATTCCCGACCGAAACGCTTCTAATCCTCATTTAGTCCGTAGTATGCCCCGGGAAAGAGGGAAGGTTTTGGGGTGGGATAGTCAGCCACACCCCATAAAAATGAACACCAGTGCTACAGAAACTTCAAAGCTCAAGCTTGAATCCCCTGTATATTCCAATGGGAACGCAAAGGAATAAAATAAAAACTAAACATCGTACTTCATAGAAACAAAGAAATATACTACAAATAATCGTAATTATAGAAAGGAAATCAAAAATACAGAGAGAGAAAAAAATACCAAAATGATGAAATATAAAAATTCCCCTTAAGTATATTGAGTTCATTGATTTCATACTCCCCTCTGGCATTAAAGGAAACAATGAAGCCGCAGTATAATGAGAGTTCAATTCGATTTTTAGTCATATTTCACAAGCTGTAATCCAGAGACTCTTCGTCTGTTGTAATTGATTTAAAGAATCTTGATACACCAATGAATACTTGCGAAACGTATCTATCTTTCATCCTAAAGCCATGCTGTTAGCTGAATATCTTTCAGATACCTTTAACTAATCCCTGTACTAGTAAGTAGAGAACAGTATGGAAACCATTGGGACTATATTCGTTACAGATTTTTAAGTCACCGTAATCATCAGTGCCTCAGGATAACATTATTTATTGACAAACAGTGCCAAAGTTGGGAATTATTATTATTATTGTTTCCTTTAATTCCTAGAGGAACATAGAGCTTCAGACGTGCGTCTCCATTGCGTTCGGTTCTCTGCTAGAGTCTTCACCTGGTTCCACGTGTGCCCACATGCTCTCATCTCCTCTTCACATGACCTCCTCCAAGTCACTCTTGCACTGACGACCAACTCGCCGCTTCCCAATCGGTAGGGTTCCACTCGAGCAATGGCTTGTCTAGTGATGTCACTTGATGGGTTGTTTCCTCAGAGTATGGCCAATCCATCCCGATTTCTTCCTGCCTATTTGTTTCACAATCGGTTCCTGGTTGGTTCGCTCCCAGAGATCTCTGCCTGTTGCTGATCTTTTCTGGCCGACCATCTGATCTTGAGTATTGAGCGAAGACAACTGTTAATGAAGGTCCGTAGTTTCTTTGAGATGCCCTTTATGACGCACCAAGTCTCTGATCCTTATAGTAGCACTGACTTCACATTGAAGTTGAAAATCCGGATCTTATTTTTGACGTTGAGTGCTGTTGACCACCACACAAACTTGAGAGAAATGAAAGCTTGTCTTGCTTTTCCGATTCTTGCTTTGATATCCTCGTCAGTTCCGTCCGCCTGTAGTTGAAACGATGCTTCTCAGGTAGGTGCGTAGGTAAAGGAAGTTGTTTCTTTCAGGTTCCTCCCATTTATGCTGATTGTTGTCTGTTGTTGTTGTTGCTGTTGGTGGTGTTCCCCAGGAATCTTCATCACCTCTGTTTTCTCTATGTTCATCTGAAGTCCTATCTTTGATGCTTCCTGTGCCAACTTGTTGCTTTTCGCTTGCATATCTTCCAGTTTGTGGGAAATCAGACATATATCATCGGCGAAGTCCAGATCCTCCATGTTTTTTGTGTGGGTCCATTTTATGCCTGTTTCCTCATTGCCCGCTGTTTTTCGCATTATCCATTCTACTGCAATCAGGAAAATCATTGGCGATAGTAGACAGCCAGCTTGTCTTACTCCTGTCCTCACTTCGAAGGATTCCGTGAGTTTCCCGTTGTGGATTACTTGACATGCAGCATTGTCATACATCTGTTGGATGAGGTGTATAATTGTTGGCTGCACTCCGTAGTAGCGAAGTAGTTTCCAAATCACCTCTCGATCGACGCTGTCTACTGAAGGCGTTTTCAAAGTCAATGAAGTTGAGATAGAGAGGTGACTGCCATTCCAAGCTTTGTTCAGTGACAATCCGTAATGTGGTAATTTGATCAATACATGACTTTATTCTCCTGAATCCAGCCAAAGTTGGAAACATTTATTTCCCGACACGAGTTTTAAACAAACAACAAAAGTTAATAAGGAGGAATTTAATGAATCCATCAAATGTCGGTAGAACTCTTCCTCAGTTACACACTCTACATACAAGGATATAAAATTAAGATAAAATGCATTACGTTTAAATTACACCACATAAAAATAAACAGTTAGTTATCAGTGTGTGAAAGAACTTGAATGTATCAACAATCCATAAGCAAAAACACAGTTTTTCTTGTCCAACGAAGAAATATCTCTTTTCAACGACTTCATTTTCAAGCTAACAGTACAGTTGTATTTATATTACGGAAAAAAGGCATTAACTGGCACTAGAAATTGCTCAGTCAATATTGCACATATGATAGGTATAAAGATAATTAAAATGATGTACTAAGAGGGTTAGAACTGAAGTGGATGAATTACAAAACTCTTAAAGATTATTAAATAGGTGAACTGGTATACAGATTTTAAACTGGAGGTCAAGTATTGTATGAAAAATTAAGAGTAAGATACTGATAACAATAAAGACGGTGAAGATCAACTGGAATGAATTCAAGTGGTAAAATAGAATAAAATAAACAAGGAACATTACTATGACCAAGGTAAAGAAAAGGGTTTGACAAAACATTTTTGAACACATAATTTAGGTTTTTTCCATGTACAGCTAGAGCTTTGGCTATGCATAAGTAGGGAAAACGTAAGGTTTTTCAGTGATTGAATTTGGAGACCCCGTGGCGAACCCAGCCCTTTAGTTATAGATCACATCATTAAATCTAAACTGTACATTAAGCGTACATCTTGATAAAAGCTGATTCAGATAGTTAGTCGGCACTCCAATATTTATACATCCTAGGTCTGATTAACAGAGCCAAACGTCTAGTTACTGAGGAGGAAGAGATTAGCAAGGAACTAAAATTGGTTCAATCCACTCTTGAATCAAATAATTATTCTAAAGCCTTCATAAAGAGATATTTAAAATGTGAAGATAAGGATGGATCGAAACCTGTTGCTAAGAATTCCGTTAGTACAGCGGTGATTCCTTACCGCAAAGAAACATCCGATGAGATAAATCGAATCCCTAACTATCATAACATAAGAGTGTATTTTCGTGCATCAAACACCTTACGCTCATCACTGGTGAAGGTTAAAGATAAAATAGAAGAAAACCAGCAGAATTGTGGGGACTGTCATGCCGTCTATGTAGGAGAAACTTCCAGACAGGTAAA